AACTCAAACTTAATCCAAACCAACCAAATTTTTACTCACAACCAGAGAGCCCATAATCTAGATAAAAATTTCCCATGGCTTCAAAGTTACGCTTTTTAAAGTCGTTCCAATTTAACTTAATCTAACCTAACCTAAGGGAAATTAAATAAAATCCATTTTTCCAGTACAAATTCAAAGTCTTCCGAATCGAATATTTAGACAAATACGTTCTAATTACTTCTAATCATTGCAAAAATCTGCAAATGAAAAATTATTCGTGTTTAACCTAACGTAACGTACTTTAAGTAAAATGAAATGAAATTCACCTTCACAGTACAATATAAAATTCTTCTAAATCAAATGTGCAGCAAAGTACCTTGTGTATATGTCGTGTGTGTGTATGTGTGTGTGTGCGTGCGCACGCGCGTGTATAACAATATACAGAGTGGTTGGTAACTGGTGGTACAAGCGGAAAGGGGGTGATTCTACGCGAAAAAAGAAGTCGAAAATATAGAATAAAAATTTTTCGTTTCAGGCTTTGTTTTCGAGAAAATCGCCTTTGAATTTTCGCTCGGTACGCGTGCACTTTATCATGTCTCGTTATAACGGATCTCACTGTAGATTTTAAAAAAAATTAAAAAAAAAATTTTTATTCTATATTATCGACTTCTTTTTTCGCGTAGAACCACCCCCTTTCCGGAAAAATTTTATTTCATATTTTTTCTTTATTTGTACATACAAAATTACCTTCTGCTGATCTTTTACTGATACCTAGCCGATAATTAATCAAATGCAAGCATACTTGGTAAATTTTCGGTTTCCTTGAAAACTAAACCTTTTTACTTTTTCATAAGGAATCATCTCACGCCCGGTAGTATATATATTCAGCCACACCCAGTATAAGAGTATACTTATAATTACAATGTTCTTCATCAGATATTGTTGTCACGAATCCGAGTAACGACTGAACTGGAAATAACTACGTACATATTAAACATTGTAGATGTTCCATGATCTAATCTTTACGAACGTTCGTACGGACACGCCATGAAGAAAATCTTTTGACGTAAAAAAGTTTACAAACAGATTGCTCGATGTTCATTTGCATCAAACGAGGACGAACGAATGCCCCTGCTCTCGTTTTACCTTCTTATCCCTTTGGTTTAAACGCACCTTTACTTACGATCCGCTCATAAGCAAGCGGGTGACTCGTGGTTACGCTCGCTCGCATCTTCGGAAAGCGTGGAGACGAGGAGCTAGCGAATGGGTTAGTATTAAGAGTAATATAACCGTGCACACGCTTTTCCATATCGAGACCGACATTATGTAACGCGATTGTCTTGAATCACGTCGTTAGAGTGCTATCAAACCGCGTCACAGGAATTCATGGCAAACCGCCTTCCAAGAATGATTCTTTGTTTGTGAAGCTTCGAAACAATTATACATATATTTATATATATTATACAAGGTGGTTGGTAACTGGTGGTACAAGCGGAAAGGGGGTGATTCTACGCGAAAAAAGAAGTCGAAAATATAGAATAAAAATTTTTCGTTTCAGGCTTTGTTTTCGAGAAAATCGCCTTTGAATTTTCGCTCGGTACGCGTGCACTTTATCATGTCTCGTTATAACGGATCTCACTGTAGATTTTAAAAAAAATTAAAAAAAAAATTTTTATTCTATATTATCGACTTCTTTTTTCGCGTAGAATCACCCCCTTTCCGCTTGTACCACCAGTTACCAACCACCTTGTATAATATATATAAATATATGTATAATTGTTTCGAAGCTTCACAAACAAAGAATCATTCTTGGAAGGCGGTTTGCCATGAATTCCTGTGACGCGGTTTGATAGCACTCTAACGACGTGATTCAAGACAATCGCGTTACATAATGTCGGTCTCGATATGGAAAAGCGTGTGCACGGTTATATTACTCTTAATACTAACCCATTCGCTAGCTCCTCGTCTCCACGCTTTCCGAAGATGCGAGCGAGCGTAACCACGAGTCACCCGCTTGCTTATGAGCGGATCGTAAGTAAAGGTGCGTTTAAACCAAAGGGATAAGAAGGTAAAACGAGAGCAGGGGCATTCGTTCGTCCTCGTTTGATGCAAATGAACATCGAGCAATCTGTTTGTAAACTTTTTTACGTCAAAAGATTTTCTTCATGGCGTGTCCGTACGAACGTTCGTAAAGATTAGATCATGGAACATCTACAATGTTTAATATGTACGTAGTTATTTCCAGTTCAGTCGTTACTCGGATTCGTGACAACAATATCTGATGAAGAACATTGTAATTATAAGTATACTCTTATACTGGGTGTGGCTGAATATATATACTACCGGGCGTGAGATGATTCCTTATGAAAAAGTAAAAAGGTTTAGTTTTCAAGGAAACCGAAAATTTACCAAGTATGCTTGCATTTGATTAATTATCGGCTAGGTATCAGTAAAAGATCAGCAGAAGGTAATTTTGTATGTACAAATAAAGAAAAAATATGAAATAAAATTTTTCCGTTAAAAGTTTCATATTTACATACACAACAACAGTTTGAACATGTTAAGTTCAAAATTGGCCCATATATGATAACTTATTTTTTTCATAATAAAGCGTCTTGTGACGCTTTGTATGTTATTCTCCATTTTCGACTTATTTTCATACGTAGAATAACTTCCTGCCGATTATTTATTCCTGTCCAGGCCAAAATGAGCTACTTTCAGTTCAAGTATACTTCATAGATTTTCATACTCAAATTTCTCGAAAAGTAAGCTCTGTACGAAAAATATATAAGTATTCTTTTCTTACTTTTTCATAAGGAATTATACTAGAATGTTCGACGAACAATCACCAAACGACGAAACATTCGCTTGTCTGGTCTAAACGCACCTTAATAAGCCGATTTCACTATAGAGTCCGCGTGAAAGTCAGGACGTCCGGTCCTTCGTGACAAGCGCAAGAAAATCCTACTCGCGTTTGCAAGCTGTTATTATTGTTGTTATTATTGCATTGTGTCGTGTCGAGTCGACTTAGTGTAATAATTTATCGCGTTCATGGTATTTTTCTTCGGTACATTACGAACGTTGCACTTACGGTAGCTTTGCGGTATTTAATGTTACTCAAGTGTTTGACGCATTATTCTGATATTAAAATGGTAACCAAATATACATAGTGGCAAATTATTTCACTTTTACAGAACCCTTATCACGTTTTATGTATAGAAGGTGAAATCGTTCAGGTACAACTCCTAAATAAATCTAATAGATTCTAAATAGTGTTATTTTACATTAATTATGCTGACTACTGATTGATTTTAACACATGTTCTAAAATTAAATATATACAACACATATTTGTATATATTAATAAGATAAATAGAGTACACTTTTGCTTTTAGTCAATTATGCATCAAATCCTTCATGAATTCTAATGATGCATCGTTTTCAGCATATAACTCAATCTATCAACTGAATGCGATTATTGCTTCTATGAATGCTTAATTTCTTGAAATTAGATTACTGGAATCAATTGATTAATTGATACTACTTTTTCACTTTGTTTCATTTACATTTGCTGTAAAACATTATAATTTTATCCAAATGCTCTGAGCTCTCACAAATTATTTTAAATATTCCATTTTTTAAATATTAATTATTAAATATTTTTTATATTTATTACCAACTTATAAAAAACTTGTAATTGCTAATAATATTATTAGCAATTTTTAATAATTGAGATATGAATTTTTTGACCAATCTAATGAGATATTCAATTACGAATTCTAAATTATCTATAAAAATCAACAGATCTAATTCCACAATTTACAAAGTTATACTAATCTAAACATTCCTGGATATCAAGGCTTAAACCAATCATATTCTATAATCTATCCATAATTTTATAATCTTATAGGATTATGAAAGAAGCATAGATTTCCAAAACAAAAATTATTTGTCAAGACAGAAACAAGATTTTGTAACAAACGTGTCTATATGTAAGGCATTTTTGTGGGATATTTTTGTCTAGGAGCTAATAAAAGAAGACTGTTTATATTTAATGTTAACTATAAAACGAGGAATTAATGATTGCAATTTTATAAATGTCGCCTTTTTAAATGAAATTTTATACATGTAGTTTCATACACGACACTTCAAAATATCGTATATGTAATTTCTACAGTTCGAAAATTCTTGGTACGGAGCTGCTATAATTTCTTCACTTATAGTTTCTTTCAAAATAAATCAGGCATTGAAAAATTGTCGAGTTGGAACAAAGAATGTTTTATGTTACTCTTGCCAAATATAAATTTGTTTAAAATAGCGCACGTGAATATTTCGATTATTCGTGATTAGACTGCGGATTTTTATGCATTTATGAGAAATTTCGAAGTACCAAATACACAGTAATAACAAGAATATACAAAATATACAAAATACCTGAAATATACTATGCTTTAAAATATTTACTAGATAAAACAATTTTCTATTTATATATTTAATTATGTTTATAAGATCATGAATTTGCATAAATATTCACGATCTATTCATTCATTTAATGATTATCCATCAAATCTTCTTAATACTAAATATACATAATTTATAGTAAATATTTCTTTTTGTGATAGTTCACAGTAAACCAAAACTTAATGATCGCTCTAATAATTAATTATCGTACCAAACTCAAACTACAAAAACACACAAAGAACATCTATTCATATGCACCATCCATCCGTTCCATATACATATATATACATATACCTAACAGTATATGTTTGTAAAATGTTTGTAAAATTTACTCGATGCTCTTTTCAATATCCTGTACGATACACATTTTAGACCAAAAAGTATAAATGTTACTATAATTGAAATAGCTGAAATTCGAAGAAGTATTAATTATTTCATAAAGTTTGACGAACATTTGACGACCACAGTGCAACACAATTTGCGAATATTCAACAACCGCATGATTCCTCTTATATCTACAACTGTAATTCTACATGTACGATCTCACTGTCTGCATTATAGGTGCACCCACGTCGCCGTCATCCTGACCTGCCCGAGAAATCCTCATGAAAGACTGGGAACTCAGTACTCAGAATAGCATCGGTATTGTAGCCATTTCTTTTTTTATTTTCCCCCCTTCTTTTTAAATAGCTCGCCATTGATCGCGGTTATTACTTTATTTTACGTTTTGTTACTCCTATTGCTGTAACTTTTTTTTCTTCCTATCTTTTTTCTCTTTTCTCTTTTTTAATTAAAATAGTGGTGATGGTAAATGAAAAGTGTTGTCGACACACTAGATAAGGATTGACGTTTTTATTTTAGTAATTTGCTGACAGAAATAGCCTTAATTTATATAATTTTTCCTTTATTTATTCAAGTTTGATAGTTTTAATTAATCTTTCTATTCGGGCTTCTTTCTTTTTTGAGTTGGTATAGTACTATGCTTTAATGTGTCAAATATTTGACTGTACTCGTAGCTTATTGCGTAAGACATTTTCGCGATACACGTGGCGGACGGTGAATTTCTTCTAGGAGGCTGGATGAATTTCTAAATGCAATTCGCACGAGGTAGGTCATCAAACTCATCTATATGGTTTTTCTGTCACGTATTCTTTGAAAGCACGTGTCACGTGTTTGATTTTTATAAATGGAAGTGTTTGAAACGTAAAACTAGTAAATGGATAGTAATAATTTGATGTAACTAAAAACTTAACACATTTAGACAATTTCGTAGAATTCATATATTCTTAAGTATTATAAATCAAATTTTTCTAATCGAGAAAGCAGTCGTGTTATTGATTCAATTCGAATCCATAACTTGATTTAACTTAATTTTAAATATTGTTATGTTTAATATCTTAGTAGAAGTAGCTTAATCAGACAGTTAATGTGAATATAGAAAATTAGAATGAAATACGAGGAAGTTGGTATTCAATTTTTACATAATAAATATTTCTATACGTGATATCTTTCTTTAAGCATATATACAAATCAAAGATAACGTGCAAGCAAATATTTGCAAATAAAAGACATATAATTCTTTTTGTGAAATTTTGAGTGATGTGATCATATAATATTGTAGCACTAATTTCAAGTATCATAAATTCTAGTTTTGTTAATTGTAACTCTCGCTAAATTTTCTTTTTGTTTGTATAAAATTTCCACAAATATGCGCTTATGAAATTTGGCTAAGAATCACTTCTTTTAATACGATCGTTAGCTCACACCTATTGAATACATATTGATGTTAATAAAATTGATAATTGTGTGTGACTGTTTATAGCACACACACACACACACGCGCGCGCGCGCGCGCGCACGCACACTTGCAATATCCTGTAGCGTCTATATACATTTTCAAATTTGTTTCAAATCATACGAACATAATCATCGAGTCTCGTTGCAGTGCTAATGAAATTTCAAAATGTTTCCACATAAGACACAGAATGTACTCATAAAAAATTTCTACAAACAGTCGAATACTTCCGTGACCAACTGTACTTCCTCTATGATCATAGAATCTATGCATCGTATAATGAATTATTTCGTGTAAAGTTACGTTTGGCAATCTAAAGATAAGTCAACTCTACCTTCTCAAACTCTCTTAAATTCCACAACCATAAATAAGGGACTAACTCCGAACGATTTTCTTAACTTTTTGGGACATTGAGGGATGAAAAGTGTCCAACTCCTTAGTGCTTATATTTATAAGCATAGGAGATGTTTTTAATTTCATTTCAAAATATTAAGATAACTCCAAGCACAACGATTCACAATATATCTCTCGATTTCGTTCTGTCACAGATATGACTAACACACGTTTAATAGACGCATAGGAAGAAGCATGTATTGATCTAGTCACTACGTGGTCAAAACTTATCCAGAGCATTCGTAGTTTTAAATAAAATTTCTGTGCAATCAGAGTCCTTCTTTTGCCTTAAGATTCTGTACCTTAAAAAGTTAAAGTCGGGTATCCGCTGAAAAAACTAAACTAGGCTATACTATGCTATGATATGTTTAAAAATATTTGCTTCAATACGTAATATAGGAAACCGTTTCCGCCCAAAACTAAGCTAATTGTAAGCTGTGCTGTACAAGAATGAAATAGATGAATACGAAACAGATAAAACATTGTTGGTGGAAATTATGGAACCGTAAACTTCGTGTTTTTATAAACCCAAATATTTTTTAACTCGACACATCACAGCTTAGTTTTGCGGTGGATCTCTAGCTTTATTGCCTTCTTTTACCCCAACTTTCTTTCGTTCTTTAACCAACCAAATCAATCACTCGAAAATATATCGACACTCTGTATATCTATTCAACAAAACCTCAAACCTGCCGTGCTTTCCCAGAATCTCTCTCTCTCTTTCTCTCTCTCTCTCTCTCTCTCTCTCCTCTCCTCTCTCTCCTTCCTCCAGAGCGAGACTGGCCGCAACCGCGAATTACTTCGCAATTTCCCGAAATTGCGCAATCCGTGCAGGCTAATGGCCACCAGGTTGTTGCTGGTCGTTCTGGCATGGGTGGGGAGGCGTTGGCAATGGTGGGGAAAATAGTGAATAGAGAAGAGGGGTTAACGTTGGACGATAGAGTTGAAGGGATGGACTACGGCGGAGGCCACGGGGGAGGCGACCATTAATTAAGCAAAATCATAAACCCGGCCAACCGAGAGAACCGTGGTTGCATTGAAAAATATAAACGATCCGGCAGGCCCGTTACTTTCACGAACAAGATCCGCGCACCGGTGTTTAGCTATCGGTTGGCTGGTGCAGCCGAACACAACTGCGGTACGCGATGCAGTTTGCGTCGGAGAGGGATTTTATCATTGGCACCGTTGCCGCGCCGATTGCGGTTTTAGCTCTTTCTACGTGTGTATCGGACATATCAAAGTTGCAAATTGAGAGAATTACAGGGAGTAACGAAAGTATTTGCATGGTATTCTGCTCTTCCTCTTAATCACTTGGCGTACGATATATCTGAAATTAGTTCGTCATTGTATACTTTGGAACAATGTTATACTAAACTGAGAATACTTATGCAACTTCATATTTTTTGGAACATAATTAAAAGAATGGAATCTCGGTGGAGAATGCTGTAATTTATTAAATATTATAACGAGTACTATACATTGTATATTTCATATATTTTGTAGATTTGTGCACGTTCAAATTTTGCATAAGCGCGTACAAATGCACAGTTTATTTACTATGAACAAACAAAGAAAGATTAAACATATATTTGTCAAAGAAGAAGTGTCGCTATTTCACATCCTATCAACTTCTGCTCGATTGACTAACACATTCCAAACTTTTTATATAAAATTCATTGTATATATACATGGATTTTGTTTTGCTTTTATTTTCTTTTTTTTTATTTTTCTATTTTTATTCTCAGTTTTTGCGTGTTTATAAATAGTAGATGGGGTTATTTTTCGGACGATAGAGATTGAATGGCGGTTCCGTCGAGCGCGCTTTATCCTATTATACTCTCGTGTTTTGTTGGTTTTCTTTCTTTTTTTTTTTTTTTTTGTTTTCCCTCGATTGGTTTTGTTCACGGTATTTAGGTATCGGTTTAACGAGATCGGTTTTGAGTTTCGGTCGATCGGTCGACGCGTTGAACATCACGTTATTAATGAAATTGCATTGTCCGGTACGAGAAGGCGATGACAGTTTGTAGATTTATTAAATAGCGTTTGTTGGAGTATTTAGATGATCGCGTGTGTACGATTGTTTGTTGTCTATGCTATGATAAATGCATAAGGCAATCGCATAAGAAAGCAAGTGTTAAGACGACCTCTTCCACATAATTTAGCTAATATTATTAATGAAATTTTGCAAGTCACAAGTTATAAATCATTAGTATTAACAAATTCTTTTGTACGATATAAGGACAATAAGTTTATATACAGGTTATCCTATGTAACTAGGACTAACTACAGTTCTGAAATACGGTGAAACATAAAAAATAAATTTTAAGATAAAATTAAACAGTTTCGAATAATACGTGATCTGGCGTATATATTTCTGGAAGTGATGGTATTTTTTAAATTGTAAGATCATCTCTATTTTTTAAATAAACATAAATTTTTTTGCGTAAATCGATGCGTTTTTTATTCTCTGTATTAAAGTATAAGGAAATTTGAATCTGAAATACAAGTTTAAAATACAATTCAATTTAAATTTCATCAGATTGAGTGTATGATAGAGAAGGGAAATATGAATATAAAAGAACTGCGTCTTTCTTTGTCTTTCATACGATAAGTTGTGTAAAATTAAAGTCGATATACCTTTAAGCTAATCAATTTTCGATCTAAATACCTTATAATACTTTCCTATAGAGAACGCAAAGATCTGTGGATCAAAGTATTAAAAAATGTATAAATAAATGTATAAACAAATATAAAAATGAGTAAATTTGAAAAAATAGAGATGGTTTTTAAATATTAGAAACGTCCATACACCATTCGAAACAATTTAATCTTGCCAAATGAAATTATTTTCTTCTCTTATCTACCATTTTAGGGCTATAGCTTGCCTCAAATAGGATATTCCGTATAAGAAGATACGAAGGTCACAAGAAAACAATATGATAAGTACATTTCTGTTGATCTGATTTTAGTATCACTTCACGATTAAAGTCCAGAAATGTAATTTTTAAAATTATCTGATAAATTGGCGAAATTTTATGGACCGCAAAAGTGTAATTATTGATAAAAATTAGAATAGTTTTTTATTTCTCCGATTATTTTCATCTGTCAATTCTTATCAAAACTAAGTTTTTGTCTTTAGAGCAATTAGAAATAGAGTCTTTATAGCACTCTTCCATTGTAGATGATTTTCATATTATTCAAACAGTTAACAAAATAATAAAAACATTAATAAAATACAAAGAAGAAAATAATACACATAGATTAAGATAACTGACAAAAAATTGAATTTCGGTTATAAATGCTATAACACAGTGCTTCATTATGCATTATCAGAAAGTGGAACACGTTGCACCACTTATTAATCGTTATACCTTTCTTATCGATTCTATGTCTCTTAGATGTGCTGGAACGATGAAGAAGAAGAATGGGGCTCAGAAATGATTAATTGCGCTCA